AAGGGTACACATCACAGTTTAGTTTAGGACAAGATGTGTATATTTTCCAAGTACTTTATACTTTCCATGGCTGTATATGCTGCCCTGGAGGTCAACAGTCTCAGGCTATGTTAGACCAAAGAAGGGGGCTAATTCTAGAAGTGAGGACCCTTCCCTCAGGACATGGGCTCTAATCTCCAGATCCTAATTTCTAGTGACTGGTAGCAAGAGCACCTTTCCTGATCTCCACTGGCAGGGCAGTCCACTTGGAGAGAGAAGCCTGATCTAGTGGATAGGCCCCTGTCCTGGATATTGGGTGTCATGGCTCAGCTACTGATCCACTGGCTTATCTTTGGCAAGTCATTTCACCTCTCTGCCTTTGTTTCCCCTCTCACTCTGTATTATCTATTTAAGGGCGGAGGTCTAGACTAGTAGATAGGCATTGAAATGAGACTCCAGAGGACTGGGTTCAATTCCCTGCTCAGCCACAGACTTCCTGTGTGTGATTTGGGGCAAGTCACTTAAGTTACCCTGTACTTCAGTTTCCCATATGTAAAAATAGGAATAGTACTTCTCTACATCACATGAATGAGGTGATGATAAAATCCATTTGTAAGTGTGAGGTGCTTATGACAAAGGACATACAAGTATCCTGAGAGAATGACAGAGAAGGGCTGTATGGTAATATCCAAGTGACTTCCCTCATGTTCTTTATCTTACATCCATCCATCAGTTGCTTTCCTTGCTATATCTCCTTTGGTTCTCTGGCTTGTAAGTTACACTTGTTTTCCACCCCAATTGAATGCCAAAGGGGTGCAGGTTACACAGCTTTGCTATTTACATAATTTATAATGCACACAGCATACTTTATGCATCTCACTAACTGATTTGTTGATGTAGCTGTGAAAAATGATCACTATGTGGCCATTTTTGGTCTGATTAGTTATTAATAATTACTAAATAGGTCACTTTGGTTGTGCATGATTATAGGTGACTGGAGGCAGGAGTGCAGTCAACAATCCCAATCCTGTCTCTTCGCTTTCACCGGGCACACTGCAGTGAGATTGGAGAAATTTTTATTTTAGATTTCCTCATTCCTGAAGCCCCAAGATCCTTCCCTTTTTGGAGTGACATCACCAGTGCAACCCTCTCTGGAGATACACTCTCACACGACATGAGACACTGCCCTATTTGTATTGCAATAGCACTTATGTGCCTCAGCCCTATTGTGCCAAGCACTTTACACATACAACAAAGAGACAGTCCCTTGTCCAGGGAAACTTACATTCTAAGGGTACATCTACACTTAAATGACTACAAAGGCACAGCTGCAGTGAAATAGCTGTGCCACTGTAGGGCTTCAGTGCAGATGCTCCTTATGCTGACAGGAGGGGTTCTCCTGTCAGCATAGGTAATTCACCTCCCCAGGAGGAGGTAGCTAGGTTAACAGAAGAATTCTTCTGTCAAACTAGTGTTGTTTTATGCTGGAAGTAAAGTCAGCATAATTATATCTCTCGGGGTGTAGTTCTTTCACACCCCGAGACATAGTTATTCTATTGTAAGTTTCCAGTGTAGACCAGAGGTAGATACAACACAGTATGCTAATCCTAACTGCCTCCCTGTTAATGTTCTCCAACCACTATTTACCAATTGCCTAGCCAATGGTGAGCATTTTCTAGGCATTGCAGCAAAGGATAGATTTGTAGGACAACAGTGCAGTAGCCTCAGAAATTTTTATGCCAAGATCCTCTGATGACTAAGGGGCAGCCCTGGTGGAAAGTGCAAAAGACACTGATGTGTGGTTACCATATTTTGAGGAAATTGAAACCGTTAAAATACCTATTAAAATGTCCCCCATGCTCATGCATTTTGTATTTTCCAGTCATGTCTTGACATCTCATTAGGAAGGAAACAGAAGCACTATAAATAACTAGGAGTCTTTCCCACTCCAAAACACAGAGGAAGGTGTAGCTAAATAACAAATGCCCAATATAGTGGTGATCCACATAAAATTTGTACTGGTTGCCAGATCTCGAGTGGTAATAACAGTGAGCCACAGATTACTTTAGTAATTCACCTTGTGCTCACTGATGGCATGGTGTTATTCTGTGACAATGACACTAATTACTGTAGCTGTTTATAGTAGGGCACAGTGTCACAAGGCCACCCACTGGCATCTACATCAATAATACCCACTATATCTGGCAGCAGTGTCTATAGCCCCTACTACACTTCTCCCTGTGAGTGTAGGTGGAAGACAGCTGAGGGAGTAAGAGCTTTTACTGCTATTGACCATGATAAACTGACCATTTCCATTCACCTAGCAAGGCAAACTCAAGTATAAGCAAATATTGATTTTTTTACTCAAAATATACATACATTGGGACCCACCTTACCAATAGCTTGACCCAGAGACACTATTGAGATGCACATCTGCTGTAGCTCCTCTCATCTACACAGCAGATGTCACAGCAGTAATAGTTCTCTTTCAGCATTTAGGGGATTTAAGAATAAAAACTACGGTGGATCACTAGTTTAAAAATCCTGGATGCCCCCAGAACGTAACAAGCACATTACCAGGATTCCCAACAAGCTCCTAGTACCAGTCTTGGTATTTGCTAGATTTAGGTAGCCCTAGGTAAGTGCTCAGATGCTACCTTGGAGAGAGCCATACAAGAATCTGGATAAGCCAACTACTAGAAATTTCATATTTGAAATATTTACTGAGGTAAGGGCAGTGCCGTCTCTAGTAATTAACATTACACCCCCACAAGGCCAACCTCCCAGAAACTTAGCAGTTATCCAGATTTCTGTGCAACCTTGCGCTAGGCCAACAAAACTAAAAGCTATTGCCATATAGTGCAGCCTCTAAATTGCAAGGGACATTTAATTTCTCCTTTTAATTTTGGTAGTATGATAGCCTACTTAAGCATTTAACTCATATTTTACCAAGTGTGGATAACCCTCTCCGCTCCAACAGGGGTGAGGGTAGACTGTTTTATATATAAGTCATTTAAAGATAAGTTGCTATTCTGGGCAGAGAATAGATGTGCACAAACATTCTACTTTGCCCCTGCTCATGTTTCTGGCACTTATGCACTATAATCCACAAAAGAACTCATTGTCTTGTGTTTCTCTTTCTGATGGTGCTGGACATCACAGTAGTTCAACATGCCAGCTACCCAGGCAAGGTTGTCCTAGCTCTCCCCTTTCAAAAGCAAGCAGCTATGAATGTGGAACATAAGCTAATTTTTAAAACCTAAGCTTAAACTGATTCACAAATAACCGTCAGTGTAGTTATGATTATACCTACCCATTTGTTTTTAAAATGGGCATCAACCTTGTAGGAACACAGAGCTCAACCTGCTATAACAGCAGCTATCTAGCTAATTCTGGGTGCAGCTGGCTTTCTGGAGACCCCTCTCTTTTAGGTCACAATAGTTGTCCTAGAAACAGTGGATTTTTCTTAATGCTTTAATTATGGACTAGATGGCACCATGCTGCTGGGATGCAGTACAATCCTGAGCCTCCTTCTGTAAGTGAAAGGGAGCAAACAGTAGCCAGCTGGCTGGCATGAAGCCTCATCCCCCTCAGCAGGAGCCAAGCAATTTTAGTTCTCATTTGCATGTGTCTAAAAATCAGCTATTGTGTCTGGACACTAACAACTCTGAAGCACCAGATACATCTGTCTTCCTACCAGAAGAGGCCACTTAATTAAAAACAGTTGAATTCATGGTTTGCTGAAGTATTTTTAATGACCAAATATGGAAACAGATAGTACAGTAAGTACTTCTATGTTTATCTAAAGCCATAGAAAGAACCTTCCATTTTACATTTTAATTAGTTTTTGCTAATTGGCTTTTTACTGTGTGGCTGCTGTAGCACCACTAATTAGTGCAGCAACTCCTCCCCCCCCCCCCCCCCCAGCATGCCATATGCCTTTTTTGGTGCTCACTTTTGTGAAGCTGCAACCTAGAATTAAGTCCAGCCAACTGTTCAGTCTAATGATTATTCAAGGATTTATTGCAGGATGACTTCTAGTCAAACTGAAATTGTGGCTTCTCAATTAATACATCACACAGCTATTGCACTAGAAAGACGTTAGTGGCAAAAAAGTGCCACCACTTGTACTCAGCTGTCAAGTCTTAAATACTAAAGGTTTATCTCGGTAGAGAGATATTTATGTAACATTGTGTGGCAGTACATACTACTGCTCATTGGAGGCCTACAATTGGCTGTATAAAAGGAGAGATTGCATTTTTTACTTCAGTTTATAAAACATGCCTTGTTACACAGCTTAGGCCACATGCTACAGAGCATATGACAAGACCTTGGAAGGACACAGGGTTCTAGAGATTGATTTGGACTTTACTAGATCAGAAGGGGAAGAATTTCCAACTAAAAGGCTCAGAACTAACGTCACCTTGGCACCAGACCTCAGCCAACTGTATCTAGGGAAGAGATTCTATTTCTTGCAGCGTATACTTCACAGTATAGAGCCTCCTGTGCATGGCTCCCACCACCCACCTTCCATTACGTTAGTTGTAGAACTAGAGATACTGTCTTTAAGTAAGGTATTAGAGGAACTGGCTTTAATGTAACAGTGTCTTGTTACATTTCCTCCTTTACTGAATCTCTAATGTTAGTTTCAATAATTTCATAGTGCATCCTCCAATAAGGAGAGACTTAGTACTGAGTGGTCTGAACCTTGAAGCAGAACCCATTTTCTGCTGCTTTGAGATTCTTAGTGATAGTATTAAATCTTCAGGGCAGATGCCACGCCCACTGGGCCCTCCTCCAATGGCTTTTGGGTTTTACTATAAACGTTTAGTTTAATATAAGACAGCACCCAACAGACAGAGGGTCTTAAAAAAAAAAAAAAAAAAAAAAAAAGACAAGAAAACAAAAACCCATACACCACACCTCATTAACATGGAAGTAAAGCACCTACTCAGGCCATGACCTATTTGAGGCCTCTATCTACACTTCTCAGATACTAAAAAAGCCATCTTGACACAGAATTATTGGAAAAAATTATATTTTGGAAGAACTCACTACAGAAGGTGACAGAATTCCAAAATCAAATTACATGAAAATATACATCGCAATTCTCTTTGTACATTAGGTGAGGAAAATCTGCAGTAGAAGAATAGAAGGCAAAAAATATGAAGGACCACAGAAGAGAGAATAGGGATAAGAAGGGAAATGGTATTTCCAATACCAGACCCAGAATTTACTAATTTGAAAGCTTACAGATGTGCATACCTTTTAAATCCAAAACTTAAAAACAAAGGCAAGAGGCAAAAACCAGAGAAAGCAGCTTATCCTATCTTGAGCTTAGTCAACTGATCACTTCCAAACCAAAGCTCTCAGCCCTTTGAAAAAAAAAATAGCAGGCTCAAGGGTGCTCCACAGCCAAGTTTTATTGCTACACCCAATCCAAGAACTGTGTGCAACTGAGTCAAAAAGAGGGGGGGAAAGAAAGTGACCTTTGCATTGTCAAAGGTCATTAGAATCAGATAGTTGCTTATAGATCCTTTCAGTGTTTGTTTAGGAAAAATCTGAACCTTTGAGGAGATGCAGGGGTAAGAAGGGAGTGTTTTTTCCAAATAGATACTAAACTTTAATAAGTGAAAATATTTAATTATGCCTCAATTGTTCAAAGAAATAAAATGGAAAAAATCTTTAATCCTAATTGGTTTTAGTTTGACATGCTTCAAGAGGTTTTTTTTTTTTAAAAAACTGATAAGAAAAAACAATGAACAGGGAAAGAAAATTTGCTAAAATCTTTTAGAATGTACACGATTCTTATCCTAACTACAAGACAGCATTATTTGGTACAATGTGTAATTGTGGATGTACATGAACAGTATATATATTATCCGGATCATGTTGTGCTATGTACACATCTTTACAATTCTTCCTGAAGGTTAAAGCAGTTCATTAGATTTCAAAATGCGTAATCATCTTTTTATGTTGGCACTTGTTAGGCTCTTGTCAGCATTGATAACTGGCATGTTTTATTGCAGCCCAGTTCCAGCCAGTGTTTGCCAACATGTACAACAGAAGTCCAGCAATAGGTGGGTAGAGTGCAGGAAAAAACAGTGCCATGTTTCTCAATTGGAGACCTACAATACAGAAGATAAAGCCATATTACCACATTGATGAAACGCAGAATAAGATCGGAAATAGTATTTGTAGCCCAACAGGAAGTCATTTATGGCTTTTGTGCTCAAAACCAGTTCACTTGAATGTGTGTCTTTTGCTTAGTGTTTAGCATTAATTATACAGTCATCTCTCAAGGAGAGGAGTCTAACCAGTGCAATGCTTTAACACTGGTGGTAAATCTGGGCCCAAAACCTCTGTCAAAGTTAGATTTTAGTAAAAATGTCTTAAACATTTGAGTGCATTATATATGTAGGTTTCTCATATGCATCCAGGACTAGGCTATAGTTGAGTATTTTGTATAGCAAGCCAACATTTTAGCTATTGAATGACTGAAGTCTAGTCTAGTAGTATTTTACAGAATAGAACAGGAGCTGCAGCATAAAGCATCGCTGTTATAAAAGTGAGTGTGCTTATTTTAAGTCTGTCATTGGAGCCAGGCTCTTAGTTGTCACACTTCTATAACTCAGTGGTAAAGGACTTGCCTTCCATCAGCAAGATGGCCAGCTGACTACGTAGTCAGCATTACTTCCTTCTACTCTTGGACATCATTCATGCCAAGTATTAAGTTGCACTATTGCACTTTAAAAGCATGTTGCCATATTGAACAAGTGAATTGGGGCTACTATGGTACCTTGGAAACAGCACATAGTGCCTTATTTGGTATACCCACTCCAGTTATACTAGAAACAGAATTCCCATGCTCTAGCTCTGGTCACCTTCTCCTGAGCGAGAAATATCAAAGGAAACTGCAAGTCTAAGTTATTCATGTGTTTCCCCATCTATCTTCTTTAAATTTTACTAGAAAGAACAGTCCACTTGCTCATAAGCACTCTTTGAATTTAAAGTCAATCCTGTCTGAAAGTTTGCTATGGACAGAACCAGTATCAAGTGGGACTGACTTGAGTAACTGTATAGCTAAAGTACATGAAATCTTTAGAAAAGCTTTGCTAATGTTAAAAGCAGTAGGTCAAGAAACCGAAAATGGAACTTGTGCTAATTGTACTAAGTTGTGAAAGGTTCCTTGAGAGGTCAGTTTGTTAAGACAATCTCTTCCCATAGCGAGGTCATTCAGCAGCCCAATTTTTCCATGCAACTACATTCAGGGTACTGAATGCAAGGAATACAGGTTTATTGTGGTGGATAAGATGTGGCTTTAAGATTGGAGGGAATATTTGCACCAAATCAGCCATTTAACACAAGACTTCTAAATAAGTGACATCTCACTCTGGAAGTCAACTGACTTATCTGAATGCAGAAGGGCATTCTGCAATTCAAGTTAAAAGGGTTAAAACCCTTTTCAGGTGAAGATAAAATTCGACAACAGTGAAGAGACAAGAACACTAAACAGAAAAGTTTTAGTCACCTTACTGACCTGGAGACCAGTTACAAAGTAGTAAGAGTATAGTACTTTGACAATTAGTAATGTGGATTAGCAAGATGGTTATATAGGTTGTATCATTCCAACACAATTTGTCCTTTGACAGCATTAGGTCTGGCAGCCTGCCACAGTTTACATTTTAAATGGAAGCTTCCAGCTTAACATCCCCCTTGCTTTCAGAAGTAGGTTGCTTAAGGGCAATGGTCTCCATCCTGAAGCTTGTGATCTCAGGGCATAAAAAGAGTTACGGAAGTAGAGTGCTTAGTAGTCTAGCCTCTCTTCTGCGGAGAAGTTACTGTAGGAGTAAAAGTCGTTGTGAAACATCTCTAAAAGCATTACAGTTCTTTGTTTCAAGTTACACTGAAGAACTCTTAAGTCAAAACCAAAAGTTGTCTGGGAAAAAGATGACATTTTTTCAGTCTAGAGCCTGTTGGTAATAAATATTTGACAAGTGGTATTAAGCCCTGAGTTAAAGCTTGCTTGAAGAGAAATTCAAGCATGTTCTAATTCAGCTCCCAAGCAGAATTACTGCAGACTACCAAGAGTTGTCAGGTAGATTTATTTTCCCTGAGGAGCTACTAACATTAAGCATCTTGTAGTATTACTACTATAGGGCAATGCAAGACACTTTCTTGGTGCCATATGTCAAGACTGATGGGGGGGGGGGGGGGGAAGATTTTTAACTCAAGAGAAAGACAGTTTAAAAAAAGGCTGAGATGTCTTCCCAACCACTTGACTGATCCGAAGACCCTAAAAAAGACTAAGCCTGCACGTGGCCTTGCTATCAGCATCTGTACACAGATTGACACCATATGTACATCAACATTTGCAGTTTTGGGCTGGCAACAGACATCTGAATTTTAAAGTTTGTTGGGAAGTCTGCTTGGGCAGGAATCTATAGTGAATGTCCACTTTTGATGCTAAATATGTTACAAGTGTATTTGTAGCCACTAATGAGATTAGTGAACTGGTATAAAATACTGCCAAACCAAATCTAATCTCAGGCTTTGGCCGGTGTATTGAAGACATGCTAATAAAACAACAAGTTTACCAACCCAGGCAAAGAATTTAGTGGACAGTAATGCATGAATGAAAAAAGTGTTACATTCAGTGTCTCCATAGCCTTGTAGTCTTTGGCAGTGCTGGTCTACAGACATGAGGCTGAGGACATATTGTCAGTGAAAGTGGGAGAAAGCGCAAAGTTTGTTTGAAAGACGAGGGGAAGGTATTTATGCCTGAATACAGATTGTGTCATACTGTTAGTTTGTCCTTCATGCCTCCTACTAATGGAGGTGAAGGTGACTTTCTTTGAAGACATTACTTACCCTGAAAAAAAGTGAAGCTACTAGCTGCTGAATAAGTGTCACTCAAAAGCAGTCTCTTGGCTTTTTCTTACACAGCGGGCAACTTTCCTTTTGAATTCTCCATTTCTGTCTTCTCTCCATTCTTTCTGTAAAGTAGTTGGACAACTTTGATGTTAGTGCTGTGATAAACTTATTCGAGCAAGAAGTTCCATATTTAAGTTTCCAGTACCTAGGTGCTCTGAGTCCAAGAGATTTTCTTAAAATGTGTTTAAAGCTAGCGAACCTGTTCCTGGAAGCAGTCATAGCATTTGAGGCTGGGAGATAAAAAGATCATCCTACACTCCTGGAAAGCCTGTCCCTAAAACCGTGGAGGCCTAGGCCATTTCTACAGTCTAAGCTTTCATCAGTAGAAGTTTTTAGCCCTTGTAATTGCAAAACCCTTCTCTCCACCTAGTTTCTTCCAAACAAGAGCGAGATTTCAGACTATAGTGAGTTGTTTGGTCAGTTCCAGGGCATCTGCAAAGCAACAGCAGATTCATAGATAAGGCCAGAAGGACCATTATGATCATCTCATCTGATCTCCTGCTTAACACAGGCTATAGGATTTCCCTGAATTAATTCTTGTTTCAACTAGAGCATAGATTTCCCCCCCCCCAAAAAAAACCCCTTATATAATCTTGATTTAATTGCTCATAATGGAGAATCCACTACAACCCTTAATAGTTACCCTCACTGTTTGAAATTTGCTGCTTTTTTTTTTTAAATAGTCCGAGTTTGTCTTGCCTCAACTTCCAGCCATTAGCTCATTTCACATTTGTTAGACTGATATAGGGCTTCTCAAATTTTTATTCTCCACGTAAGTACTTACAGAATGATCAAGTCAGCCTTTAATCACTCTAAGTTATGCCCATTATCCTGCCACTTAAAAAGGGTCCCAGATTTCCAAGACTGGCTTATACCGCATGTGTACGGTGTTGATCGCTGCTCTGTACAGACACTATGTAGGCCATCTGTGCAGGAGACCGCTCCATTCTTTCCAATAGCAAGTGTTTGAGGTATTTCTGTGTAAGATATTTACAAGTCTCACTACTGTTACTGCACTCCAGCTGCTCAAGCCATCAACTAGTGGCTCTTTGAAGGGGCTTCCTGTTTTCCCCTCTTTTGGGGTAAGAAAGTCAAACAAAAAACTTAAGAGCTGTTAAATATGAGGTAGAGGAAGAAAAATTAAGATCCAGAATGAAGAGACAGGCAATAGAAAGGACAGTAAATGCCCACTTCTAAGGAGGCAGGCAGCTGCTGTGAGGTCTCCTGTGTGTTCAACTGCAGAATTAGACACAGAATTCCATCTTTTTAAGGAGTTGTGCTCCAAAATCTTAGCTTAAAAAATGGTTTCTAATCCTTATGGGTACAGAGACCTCAAACATGAGTAGAGCATCAACTGAAACAGGGATGCCTTCCCAAGTCAGCAGAGGACCTGAAACAAGAGCTCTGAAAGACATCAACTGCCTCAGACATAGCAGGCAGGACCCTTTGGACTCCTTCTCATCTCCCCCTGATGCCATGGCAAATTGAACAGCAAATGCAACAAAATGGATTTCAGATACTGCTTTTTCATTCCCACCCTGCCAGCCATTAGCCATCTCTTCAGAGAATATCAGGGTTGGAAGGGACCTCAGGAGGTCATCTAGTCCAACCCCCTGCTCAAACAGATTTTTGCCCCAGATCCCTAAATAGCATCCTCAGGAACTGAACTCACAACCCTGGGTTTAGCAGGCTGATGCTCAAACCACTGAGCTATCCCTCCCTCTGCAGGGAGGGTTGCCTGCAGCCATCTGGTCTCCAGATTCTACAATAGGAAGATACACTCATCTAATTATCAGGAAATCAGGGAGCCAGATGTTGAGTATTGTAACCAGTAAGCTGGGCAAACCAAAAACAGAAGCTAAATAGAAGATACCAGTGTAGCAGAGACCTAAGGAGGTGAGCTGCTTAAGCTTTCTCTAAGCTCCATTCTCTCGGGCACAGTGGCCAAGGGGTAAAAGGGAAGAAAATGAGACAGGATCCAGTGAGAAATGCTGGCTTCCTGGGCTGCACAGTAAACCCC